AAATGCCCTAATAGAAAACTAGGCAAAATACATGAACATCTGATTCATCTAAAAATTCATAGTTAACTGAGATGTTTGCCTTCATCAGTATTGAAGAAATAAAAATCAAGCATACCTTTTTTGTCTACCTAGTTGGGAAAACTAAGAAGATGAGCAACAGACAGCGAAGGGGAAGGGGCAGCTTTTGCAGCATCAGGAAGATAAGCTGGCACAGCCCCTACCGAGAGCAACCTAAACCTCCACAGAGCAGGGAGGCAAGCCGACCTTGGCCACACAGCTCCGCCTATGGAAAACCATCACAAGGCTCTCTATTTACTGATGAGCATCACAAGACAAAATGCAGAAACAGGACAGCATGGGTAATGTGGGTCTGTTTCAATTAAGACCACAACATATCTTATACGATATATATATAATATATATGTATATGTCGACAGGAGGTCTGAAAGACAGTCACCAAAATGTTAGCGGCAGTGGTTAACGCTGGGGGGTGGGGAATGAAGACGATAGAGCAGAATGGAAAATAAATGAATACTTTTTTGTTTTCCAATCAGGAAAATCTATTTTTAATAGCAAAAAAAAGAAAAGAAAGAAAAAGAAAAAAACGCAAGAGAGATTAAGTCCAATGAACCCTAACTGTGACCTGACATTCAAGTCTACTTCTGCCCCCTCCCCACAAGCAGGAGGCCCCAGGCAGCAGATTCTATCACTACCCAATAAAAGCTGTTGGGGTGCCATGGGATGGCAGTCCCAGCCAACTTGCTCCTGCCTGGGACCTCCAGGGACTAGAATGTTCTCGTAGCTCCCTTCACTTCTACCTGTGAAGTTCCCATTCCTACAACACAGCTCCTGAGCCCCGTGGCACCATTAGGCTGCCTGCTCTTCCCTCCGAGACCTTCGCCACACCCTGCCGAGGGGACAAGGAGCATCACGGAACCGCAGCATCGCTCTCCCCTGGCTGGGCCCCTCCACATCCACGTACCTGTTTATGAAGATTGAGGCTGTCGATTTCAGAGAGAACCCAGCCAACACTGCCATCCCCACCACAAACCAGAATCCGGAATGTATCAAACTTCTGGAATAAGCGTAAGCTGCAGAGAAAAGAGAATGTCAAAGAAATGAGGTTCATTCTAAAAGACAAATGATGGCCAATGAGTCCTGAGCCAAAAGGCCCCATCTGCACTCCTCTCGGCTGACCTGTGCCCCCGCTGTGAAGAGGCCTCTGGGAGCCAGAGCCCAGGTGTGCTCAGGCTCAGCCCACTGAGCCACCCACCCACGCCGCTGAGCCACCCACCCATGCCTCTGCACCCACTGCCCCTCACTCACATAGCTCAGGAGCCCTAGGCTGCAGGAATCTGTCCACGCCCCTCCATCGCAAGTGTGAGACCCACCAAGCTCCCCTCAAATCTATCTCCATCTCCCTCCTGTGCTCCTCCTCTTGGTCATCTTGCTACACACAATGTCCCTTCAGAACACCCATAGCCTTCTGCTCATTCCTTACCCTCCTTATCCAGGTTTGTGGCTTCAGGGACCACACAGACACCAATGACCTTGCATGATGACCTCTAGATCTTCCTGAAGGGCAACATTTCACCCTCTACCAGAACGCGTCACTCCATACCCCACGGGCACCTCCTCGTCCTAAGCTTCCTTACTCGGAGAATGGCATCACCATGAACCCAGTTACAGGGCCAGACCTCATCATCCCCTCGGAGTGCAGGCCACCATAGCTTCTCTCATAATCCCTACAAGAGCCTCCTACCTACCTCATGTCTCCTTTGGGATACCTCCAATTCATGCCACCGGCAGGACCTTCCCAAAAGTCTCACTGAGTGTCTAGCTTTATTCTTTTAAGTAGGCTTCATACCCGGCGTGGAGCCCAACATGGGGCTTGAACTCACAACCCTGAGATCAAGACCTGACTGAGATCAAGAGTTTGATGCCTAACTGACTAAGCCACCCAGGCACCCTGAGTGTCTAGCTTTAGAAGCTGCCACTTGTTTCCAGGAAAGGTTCAAAACTCTCGGCCAGGAGCTGCCTGCCACCTGCCTCAGCCCCGCGGCTCGCCCAGCCACACCACCACGTCCTCACCTCCCTGCACACACAGCCCCTCTGCCTAGCAGGCTGCCCGCCTCCTCTCTGCCACTCATCTCCAACACCAGCTCAGCAGAGAAACTGAGACACTCTCCAGTCTCATTTGTATGCTCCTTCCCTGGGTTCCTAAAGAATCTGTACATCGCCCTGTCTCGTGACCTTGACTACCGGTTTGCGTGCTACGCACCCTGAACACAAGGACCCCACCTTACTTGGCCTTGCATCTGGCAGAGTCCCAGCCAGAGGAAGTCCTCAGAAAACAAACAGGAATGAGTGACACAGCACGAAACTCAGGCTACCAACAGGGCTCAGGGCCTGAAGCAGCAAGGCTGCACCTCAGGTTGTGAGAAAAACGGCCACGTGTGTTCCCTTGCGAACACTGGCCTCTCTCAGGCCTTCCTTCTCTGAAGGAGATGTGACACGTCCAGGCTGGGAATCGGGAAAATGAAGCAGTATCTCCAGTTTTGAGGTGAACTGCCGGAGGTCAAGGCTGATTCCCAGAAACGGGAACTTACTAAACCAGCACCCACAGCACCTCTGTGGGCGGCTTCTGAAGCCGGCTGGTCCCCCGCGACTTTACGGCCAACTGCGGGGCTTTGCGCGCACACCAAGACGCACACTCGGCTGTTCTCAGGTCGTGCTGTGCGGCCAGCCTGCCCCGCCCATTCCTCAGCCCCCACCCAATGACCCCAGCACCCTGCTGGGTAAAGGCCCGGACTTGTTCGGGATACGAGGGCTTTTGATGATCCCGCCACTGGTCCCATTTTTTAACTAAAATGACTTTTTTTTTTTAAAGACTATCAAGCCGAGAGTGAATGTGCTCCCACACACAGACCAACAGCTCATCAGTCCAGCTGGAGGAATGCGTGGAGGACAGCCTCTGAGGGCCAGGCCAGCAAGCTGCCACCAGTGATGCTCCCCAACAGTGCCTTGCTGCCTGTGGGGCAAGCGACATGCCAGACCCGTAGGGCGCCGGTGGGCATGCTCCTCTCCCCTGCCAGGTGCCCAGGCTCCTGTTCCAGCAACACCTGGCTCCAAAACAACACACTCCTAGGAGCCTCCAAGGCAAATACACACCAGAGAACACGTTCTGCAAGCTCTTTCCACAACAAATATCCTGGACAATCTCCCTTCCAGGCAAGGCGGCCTCTTAGCGTTCCTACCTTGAACTGGGGCTGCCAAGCAAGGAAGCTAAGAGTTCATTCAAATGACACAACTCACAGCAGCAAATGTTCTCCACAAACTACACAATGTACAAAAGTAGAAAGAACACACCTCAGATCTCCAGCTAACAAATAAAAGCCGTAATTCCTTTGCCCCATACACTGGGCTTCACATGTCTGCACGTGTCACGGGACCTGAAAGTACAGTGTACCTGTGAGGTAAGAGACCTCCTGTGCCCTCCCAAAATGAAGACTCTCCCTGGTGGCCCCACTGGAGAAAAACGTCCTCCTCAGTACCAGGCAGCACTACAAAGAACGGGGCAGACCTGCAATCACGGACATAAGAACACGCCCATGCTGACAGATGCCAAGAGCAGGTAGTGCAACGGGAGGGAACGGGTAACGGCAAGGAACCCGACTTAGAAGGGCATCTGCACAAGTGACCTACACACAGGAGAGCTAGAAAAACACGCAGCTCTATTCGCTGTCCAACAAAGACTATTTTTATTTCCTATTTAAATTTGTCTGTATTTTTGAATCATTTTGTTCATGAGCAATGCATTATCTTCAAACATTTTTAAAACTCCAAGAAAGATCTATTTTATAACCTTCCTACCCGAGGTGTGGTCCTCCGTTCATGAGGTCAAAGACTTGGGCGGGGTTCAGCAGCTGTTTGAATCTTCTGAGGAACTTCACACCCTGGTTGTCCCCACTTTTGGAATTGACAAAGACCAACAATGGGCTTGTGCAGGACGGAGGGCACGTGGCCTTCCAGAAGCCTGGATGTGAGGATGGAAAGGGAGAGGAGAAAATGAGAAAGCTATTCAAGATCCCGGCAGGGGCTCCACCATATAAAAAGCAGCCAACACCTGCAAGAGACCTGTAACTTCCACGTGCACACTCAGTCACCAGCCAGGAATCAATAAACATTCTTCCCCATCCCCATTCCCCACGGAGAAGGACGGTGCTCCCATGCAGTTTGACCTTGTGCTTACATGACTCGGTTTCAAAAAGACCATTCACTTCACTGCTGTCCTTCCCTCTTGCTCTCAATCTGGAGGAGCTAGTTCCTAAGATCCGCACCCCAGTTTCCTACCTTCTACCAAGGCCTGTTAACACACATCGTCATCTACCATCTGGACAGGTGAGCAGGTGCAGGTGAACACTGATCCACATCTGCGGCCAGATGGAAGCCAGCAGACGGAAAGCACAGCGCACGGCTCCCGTCCCAGTGTGCCCAACAGCCACAGGACTCCGTTTACCACCTCTATGCACGTCTTCTCTCCCCAGCTGCCCGGCCTGACCCCTTCCCGACCACATCCCCAAATCACCAGGGTCACCCATTCCGGCACAGGGGAGGGGAGAACGCGGGTGAGCCAGGAGAGCACGAGGTACCCACCATCAGAATCGATGCTGTTGAGCGCAGTGGGCGGGATGACCGACACCTTGCACAGGCCCAGCGGGCACTTGGTCTGTAAGGACTCTTTACATGACGTGTGCACCTGAAACACACCACAAGGGGTCACCGGCATGCCCCAGAACTCTCCCTGCCACTGCGGCAGGGGGCACCTGGGGGCCGGCTGAGAACGTACAGGGAGCGGGTACCAGCCGGTGTGGCCACGCCCACTCACCATGGCCTTGCACCAGAGGCAGCGCCAGTCCTGCAGGCGCAGCACGCTGCCACACGTCTTGTCGCACACCGTGCACTTGGCACTCACGGGCAGGTTTCCTTCCAGCCACTGGTGCGGCATGGCGATCTGCAAACCACAGAGACGTGTGCCCCAGGGACGTCCCCAGAGCCCCACACACAGGCGAGGAAGCGCTCACACAAAAATGCTCTGAAATAAACTCAACCAAGACCTGCTGCTCGACACAAGCAGGGGGAAGGCAGGGTCTGCAGCGAGCTGCCCGGCACCCCACTCCGGCTGCCGGTGAGCACAGCACGACTCACAAGGGCTGGCCAGGCTGAGAGGCACAGCAGACCATGCAGAGCCCCTCACACCCAGTGCGAGCAAGAGAAGTGAGCACAGGCCAGTGGGGGGGGGGAACCTGTCCCCGATGCCAGCATGAGGTGGAGAGGGTCGATGCAGGGTTGGCGGCCCCGGCGCAGGGCCCTGTGGGCGGCTCCCCCCATGCATACCCCGTCCTCGTCCTCAATGATGTCCTTCCCAATGGAGGCCAGCGTGGTCCACTTGCAGTTGTTGGTTGCACGCACAGCACACCGTTTGTGGGCCTTAAATTTGCACACTGAGAGAGAACAGACACGGGACCCTCAAGCCTCAACTTTTTCAAGCCTCATCCAGCACAGTGCTTCCCATGCTTGAGGAGGTGGTCCCGCAGGACCTGCCCTGCTCCTCTAGGACGGCTGGGAATGAACACGGAGCACTCCCCGTGTTGTAAACTACACAGCGGGGCTATGCACAGAGTTTGAGCAGTGAGACCAGCAGCCGGGACAGTGGGAGTCCGTTTCGGGGGGCCGCACACAGGCTCTGACCCGACTCCTCAGCCCTGCCCAGCAACACAAGCACCACTGCGAACCATGCCGCATGCACGGTCGCCGAAATTTAGAAATCACAGGATTTCTATGTCACAAAATTGTCTCCCCCCCACTTTTATTAAGATTTTATTTATTTTGGGGCACCTGAGTGGCTGAGTTGGTTATGTATCCAACTCTTGATTTCAGCTCCGGTCATGATCTCAGGGTCCTGAGATCAAGCCCTGTGTTGGCTCCACGCTCAGTGGGGAGTCTGCTTCTCCCTCTCCCTCTGCCCCACCCCCCGCTTACACTCTCTCTCTAACAAGTCAATCTTAAAAAAAAAAAATTTTTTTTTTATTCGAGAGCGTGTGAGTGCTCGGGGGTGGGGGGCTGGGGGGTGGCATGGACAGAGGGGGAGGGAGAGGGACAAGCAGACTGCGCTGAGCATGGAGCCCAACATGGGGCTCGATCTCACAACCCTGAGATCATAACCTGAGCCAAAATCAAGAGTTGGATGCTTAACCAACTGAGCCACCCAGGCGCCCTGCAGCCATTTAAAATGTACAAACCAGTCTTAACCTCACAGGTCGTACAAACACAGGCAGCAGGTGGGAACTGGCCCAGGGTCCAGAGCTTGTCGGCTTCTGCTCCTGACCTCTGCCCTTGTGCAACCACGACAACCCACCCTCCAGACCTGGAAGACCACGTTTAATCTGTTTATCCACAGCTCAGTTTTCCAAGGGGGTCTAACTACCTCGGGGAGGACTGATTTTCAACCTCTTTTCCTCTGTGTCTTTCACGTTTCCTCTTCATGCCTCCTTATCACCACCACTTCCCTTTTTACTTTGTTCTGTTACTACACAAAATAATTTATCAGACTCCTTAGTAGGTAAAATAAACACATCTGACTGATTTGTGGGGACTATTCAAGGGTTTCTAAGGCTCTGTCAAGTCAAACCTCAGGCCACGTTTCCCAGCAGACTAACACGCCACTCGTACCTTCACAGGACAGCCCATGTGACGTGACCCCGGACAGAGCCTCCCGGCACACATTGCAGTAGGTCGGCCTCGCATGGGAGCAGGCGTACCAATTGTGCATCCCTGAGAAATGGTCCATGCTGTACTGGGTAGGCTGGAAGAAGAAAAGAGGGATGGCAAAGATAAGGTGTCCCTTTGACATCCCTGAATGTGGTAACTTGAATGGGATTCAATAAAGCTTCCGAGAGAGAAGAAGAGAACAGGGTCAGCCAAAAGGACGAGCAATGAGCCTTAATTTTACAAGGAACATGCTGAGAAAGTGAGTGCCAGCCTGCTCAGTCCACACATGGTTGATGCTGGATGGCAGAATATTAATGGGCGGGTAACAAGAAGGGATGTTTCTCTTTCCGGACCTCAAAGTGCTCCCTGTTCTGGACGGTCTTCAGTGCTGCGATCCACTCTTCCATTTCTTTCCTGTTATCGGCACACAAGATGAGCTTCCTACATGGAGTGATGACCTAGAAGGAAACAAGAAATACAGGCGATAGAGCAATGAACAAAGGACAAATGCCAACAACTCTACAAACTTTTTCAAAATCTACTTTCACCATATATATTTTTTTAATGAAAAATGACGGACTCGTTCAGATTCTCAATTGAACAGAACATAAAAATGACCATCATGGGTCATTAAAAATCAAGAAAAGTCTCAAACCCAAGAAACAATCAAATTTAGTTTATATATTCACTAAAAATCAACTCAAGTGGACATTCACCGACCACCTACCACTCAGACAAGGTAATAAGCCACAGGAAAATTTTAAAAAGGAAAGAAAACACAGTTGCTATCACTCCAAAGAGCTCACAAATTGAGGTCCAGCACCTGAACAGTTTAGGGAAAGTTGGTCCAAGTTACGTGAAATATAAGCATTTCAAATGTATCATACGTAATGTCCTTGTACAAAACCTGTACTATGTGACAAGAGAAAAACAACCAGCTACTACACTCAAGGGCCTGAACAACTTAACTGGAAATGAGGTCAGGAACCTGTAATAATCAACAAATGAAAACTGTATCCACAACATATAAAGAGTTTTTACAAATCAATAGAAAGATCTTTCTTACCAAAAAAAAGCTATGGACTTGCATTTCAGAGAAGAAATACAAAGGGCTAATAAATGAATAAAAAGATGCTTAAATGCTCTAGTCATTGGGGAACACAGATGAAAATGGCCAACTATTTTTTACCTATCAGACTGGCAAAGTTTTGAAAGATGGTGATCCAGTGTTGGCAGAAGTATGGGAGAAAAGAGTATAAACTTTTGAGGGAAGAATTTGACAATGTCTACCAAAATTTTAAAAAGTCGTAACATTTTACATATTTTGTTTTGTACTGATGTACAATATCTACATGGTTCCAAAGTCAAATCTACAAAATAGGTACAGTCAGAAGTCCAGCTTCAACTTGTGTCCCCCACAGCCTGGTTCCCTCCTTTCCCCACAGGCAGCTTCAAAAAAATAAGTACGAGGGGCACCTGGGTGGCTCAGTCGTTAAGCGTCTGCCTTCAGCTCAGGTCATGATCTCAGGGTCCTGGGATCGAGCCCCGCATCGGGCTCCCTGC